TCATATATAGTGTGAAGAGTTTTTTGTTTCTTTGATTTTTGGGTGCCGCTTTTCCTTTTGAAATGTAATGTGAGATTGTTATTCTTTTCCATGTTGTTGATTTCAAGATATAAAGGGATGTGATTGCGAATGAGTCGTTTAGGCAGGGGTCTTGCATTCTGACGCTGGTAGTAATCACTCCCTGCCCTCATCTTCCAGCAAACAACTTGAAGCAGTGCTTACTGGCCCCGTGATTGCAAGTACATGGGAATCAAATAGTTCCCCCTGCCAGTCAATGAAAATCAGCTGGGTGCCCTTTAGTATTGCCCTTGACAACATGTCAAAAAGGAATTGCTTCTTTGTTGTTGTATTACAGTACAGTTTCATAGGAACGTTTCTCCCCTAGAATACCTGTTGTGCTGCATAATTGAAAATCAGCAATGAGCCAAACTTTTTAGCCAAGGGTAAATTACCTAAAATGAATTCAGATATTGCAAGTGTTTATTACATTTATGGAATGTGCTGCCTGTTGATATGGATGCAGCCACTGTGTAGGCGCGCAGATTCTGACTCTGGGCCAGTGAGAAGGAGGATGTTGAAGATGGAGGGTTATGGTGGCTGCTGTTTTGGGATCTGTTCTAGAATCTGTGTGGAATTGGGGCAGGAACTTGCCTAATTTGTAAGTAGAGATAGGGGCAATCCAGCAGTAGATGAATTTGTTCTAGTAATTAAACTCAGCAGTGTAAAGAATTAGTAACAGCAAACAATTGAGGATGCATACATTGATGGGAGCTGATAATTCTCAGCGATTGAAGTTGGATTCCCATTTCTGACTCTGTGTGCTAGTGTGCGAGTTTGCAAGGACTTCATATCTGTACATGGGTAACGTGAATTGGTGCCTCTCAGTTGCCCATAGCGTGTGAATGAGTGCATGTGGATGTAAGTGTCTTGTGGTGGACTGGCAGCCAGTCTAAGGTGCCCCTGTCTCATCCCCCATGATTCCTAACATGGGCTCTTAGCTTATTGTGACCCTGTATGCCTACTGGATAAGTGCACCTATCGGCACTTAAGTCAGTGTAAACTGGTCTGAGATTGCAGTCTGCTGGCATGCTGATGGATGTGTTTCTGAATGTGTGTTTCTCGCTTGAAAAACTACAGTGTGAAACTTTGCCCTCTATATATGTTTCGTATAGGCAAACCTCTGATGGGTAAATATGTAAAATTCCTAACTGTTGGACAGCAGTTTGGGAGCAACATTTGTAAGAAACAAGGTTAATGAGTGATGCGTATGTTTACGCACATCCATCCATCCATCTCACACCCATCCATCCATCTCACACTCATCCATCCATCTCACACTCATCCATCCCAACTATTGTTTTTTTTTCTCCTGTTACATATTAGTTGTATCACAATCTCAGTGTGCCTTGACCCTCAGTCTCCAATATATGCATAATCTATATTCATTTTGTTTTGTATTGAAATCAGGGTGTTGTCAGTACATCCCTTGTCTAGCTTCCTGCTTTATAAAGAGGAATTCCTAATCCCTAATGTGATGTGCATCAAAATGTGTAGATAATTTCTAAAAAAAAATTAACTCCTGTACCTTTTCAGTCAGAAATATTCGGTAATGCTTTACATTAACTGCACCTTCATAATGCATTCAATGTACATTCATAGAACATCCAGTGCACATTCATACTGCATCCTTAGAACATTCATAAGCGGAACGGAAGTATACTTTAACATCCCAATATACTTAACAGCTTCAATACACATTAATAACAAACATTATATGGTGACGATAACAAATATTAAAATCATATAAGCCTAATGATATAATGTTTGTGATAAATGTGCATTAAAGCTGTTAAGGTATGTTCGGATGTTAAGATATGATCGGATGTTAAGGTATGTTCGGATGTTAAGGTATGATCGGATGTTAAGGTATGTTCGGATGTTAAGGTATGTTCGGATGTTAAGGTATGTTCGGATGTTAAGGTATGATCGGATGTTAAGGTATGTTCGGATGTTAAGGTGTACCCCCATGCTGCTTATGAATGTTTTAAGAATGCATTGCAGATTGATTATCAAGCTACACTGAATGTTCTACGAATGCATTATAAAGGCATTATGAAAATGCAGTTAATGTAAAGTGTTACTAAATATTCTTTCCCAAAATCAGACATTCCACCTCTTCTGGATGTTTCCGGGAGTCTTCTGCAAAGTGACAGTAGCTGTGATACTTTATGTCCCAAAAATCCATTCATTCATTCATTCATTCTTTCTTTCTTATTTATTTATTTATCTATTAATTACCAGCAGGCATCCATGGGAGCACAGATTATATGTACAGTGGTACCTCAGTTCTCGAACTCATTACAACTCGAATTTCTTAAAAGTCGAACCAACCAGTTCGAAAAAAAAATTACCTAGAGCTCGATCTGAATCTCAGAAGTCAAACCGTGAACGCCGACCTAAGATAACTTGTATGTGCGGGGAAATGAGTCACGCGGCACGTCTGTCATGCAGAAACTAAGGGTAACGCTTCAGTCTCAGCTTCGCATTTGCTGTGATAGCATCGTGCATGTTTACACAAGCTGAATAAATATATTTAGACAGTAAAAATACATTTAGTCAACGAGACAGTAACAGTAATTATTATTATATAAATAAATATACATTTAAAAATAAAGATTTCTTATTCATTATTTTAATAATAATAAACCATTAATACGTTTAATTATAATAATATTGTTGTGCCGAGCGGGATGGAACGGAGACAAAGGCGCAGACGTCAGGGTATCGGGGAATACGGGGTTTAATTACAGGTAAGGCAGGCAAAACGCAGACGGACAATACAATGACCGGACTGAGGAAACAAACTGAAACGCGGACGAAATACAGAGGACTAATGACAACAACCAGAAACAGCTGATCACACGGGGATTCCACACGGGGGTTAACGAGGGGGCGTGGCACACGGAACGAGCGGACGATCGGGGCAGGACACATTGTTTGGATACATTTATTTTCTTACTTTACAAATTACTGTTTTGATAAACGTGCTTAGATGTGTTTAGTACAGTATATGCTCTTCTTGTTTTATCCGGTTCATTTTGTGTTTAAATGCTGAAAAAAAGCCGGGAACCAATTAATTGGTTTTCCATTATTTCTTATGGGGAAAATTCGATCACAACTCGAACTTTTTAGGATTCGATCCGGAGTTCTGAACGGATTAAAATCGAGTTCTGAGGTACCACTGTATACCTTTTTTCTTCCCATGTCTTTTTCTTCCGTGTTACCGAGACGTGTTACCTGTTTTTCATTCATTTTGTGGATGGGCTGTCCTTCCTTGTCCACCTCCCTGAAATCAATATGGGGAAATCAAGGTGGCATGTGTGCAATATTTTTTTTTATTATTTTTTTTCCAGAAGGATGATGTTAGTGAATTGAAAGACTACAGCAGTGTGCATTATGATGTATTCATTAAAAACACATTTTTAACTCATTTCACTTTACGTCCTGGGCAGCTGGCTGAAGAACAGAACCTTCCCACCCATGTGTTTGTGCATCAAACAAGCATAATAACCTGATTAGCGAAGGTCCTTCAGCCAGCGCTAATCATTAAGATAAAGCTCATGGTCAGATCATCATCATGACCCAACCTATGTGTATGACTAGGTAAGCTCACTGATCGTATAATTATAAAATTCCCTTTCATGATTCAAAGAGCATGACTAGATCACTGTATTATTCATTACAGCCTTGGTTAATAGACTGCATTTCCACATCGCTATTTATTTACCAAAGATAGGTTATTAGAGAACTAAGGCAGAGAGGTTCCATTAGAGCCCTGCTTTCTGGCCTGTAAATTACTCACAACAACCGCTAAGTTAATGATAAGCAAAGCACTATGCTCAGTTCTGATTGGTAGTGGTCTTCTGTAACTCTGCTTTTGCTCTATTTTCAATTCATGGAAGACCAATTGCCCTCAAGAGAGCTCATTACTGACTGTGTTCACATTAGCCCACCAGTAACCTCCCAGGAACTGGAGTGACATCAGTCTGAATATCACTCCCTATGTCACCCTCCAGTGGAGCCTCCAAATAACTCTCATTCTGGAAATTACTTCTCTTGGTTAGTCAGGATCAGTGTAAACCTCTGAGCTTCATGGCGTTGCGTTCTCCTGGTCAGGTGCTTACATTCTTCCCTGCCTATCTGGTCCACCATTTTGAATGTGCCTCATTTGCTGGTTCTTCCGTTCTTCTAGAACAGGGGTGTCAAACTCCTGCACATTTTTGGGTTTCCCCTCATTAAACACACCTGCTTCACCTCCTTGTGCTAATTAGCACACAGCACTTGAGCTGAATCATTTGTGGTGGAACAGAGAAAGAAATAAGCTTCACAGGGCACCGGCCCCCCAGGACTGGAGTCTGACACCCCTGTTCTAGAAGATATGTTCACTTCATATTTTCTCCTGTGCTATATAGTTTTCAGATGTGTGCCATTTCAGCTGTAGCGCTGCAGCCTTCCTGACCAAGGTTCATTGGTGAGGCCATTGATATAAATCCCCACGCTAATGATCTACTCCTGTGCTAATAGCCCAGGGAAGGCTCAAATTTTGGAGGCCGATAGCATTTGTTCCACACTTTAATGCAATGTGAAGACACAGCGGGGCAATGCAAAAGTTGCATTTTGACAGCATTGGAATTATCTGTTGTTTCGTTTTCACATAACAGCACCAAATAGCGTTACTTTTAAAAGATTGTCTTTGCACATCAGTCACCGCCTCTGAATTGACCAGGGGGGGGGGGTCATTAATACATAGCGATTCTGCCCAAAAAAAGAACAACTTCTCAACACATAGATTGCTGCCATGTCACTACAGCCAGATGACAGATCCTGCGAGTGCAGTGTCAGTGATTGGCCGATGATGTCGGGACGGTGTTATGATGTGATGAATTTACCAATGACAGAGGAACTGTTTGTTTGACCCCGGAGTCTGTGTCTGTGACCAGTAGATGGAGGCTGGAGCGAGTGGAGCAAGTGGTCGGCCTGCGGAGCAGACTGCACGATGTGGAGGAGCCGTGAGTGCAGCCAGCCCATGCCCGGCACCGGCGGCAAGGACTGCCAGGGCATAGACCTCCAGTCGCAGAACTGCACCAGTGAGCTCTGTCCGCAGAGTGAGTCGGGCCGCTCGCCGGACGGCACCCCCATATATGAGGAAAAAGGAACACGACAGTCTTAAATAAACTATATACTCAAACAGGAAATTTACAAAGAAACATCAGTACTGTTCTTAGCAATATAGCCTTCTGTAGCCCTTGAATGTTTAACTTTGCCGCAGGATTACTACTCCACAGCTCTCAGAATGAAATTTTAAGGCTGGAAAAAAATGTCAATCAACACACAACACAGTGATATCCTGCAAATCTTCTGACAATGAGGTTCTCTCTATAGACACCAATTGCCAAATGTGTGAATCTTTTGGTAAATGTATAAACAGGGATGTAGCTTTCATTGCATTTCATTTATATACATGTCTGTGTGTATACACACACACACACACACACAGACACACACACAGAATAGGTATCAAAATCTTTGTGGGGATTCTCCATTCATGTCTATGGACATTACCCCAACCTTGACCCCCACCCAGCCTTGACCTTAACCACAAGTAACCAAACAAAACACAAGAACTGTGGAATTTTTAGTTCTTTAATGGCTTTCTCATATTTTTTTTTATAAAATTGAGTTTCCCCTTGTGTGGACCAAAAAAAAAATGTCCCCACAAGGTCAAAATAGCAGGTTTTAATCACATTGTGGGGACATTTGATAATGAGAGTCCGCAGAAAATGGTTTGCAGATTCATTGTTATAAGTGAAATACCTGCTCTAGGGAGCTAGACTGTTGCCAGATATTCTCTGCATGGTCAGCTTTGGATATTACGTAAGAAGGCAGTGGATATTGTGGCTTAAAGTGTGTTCAGGGTAATATATGCCAAAGCGAATGGGAGGAAATCAAATCCAAAGTTGATAGGTAAAGTCAGATAAATAGGCTGACATGCATGTATTTTCATTTCATACCTTTTCTTTTACTATTCTTCATTCTCACTTTTGTTCAAGTTTCTTGCAGATCAGTCTGAGTTTTGTGTTCTTATCTGTCAATCAAATTCCTGTTCCCGTTTTACTCTGTTTAGCGTACGACACCAAAAGTGCCATTGCTTACTTTGCTAAAACATACAGTCTCCACATAGAATATGGATTTGGTTTAACTAAGAAATGGGACTTTTAAAACCACATCCATTATGCCGAAAGTACCAACTACTATTTTAGAGAGTTGCAGTTCTCAAATTCTGTCTTTAAAATCCATATTCCAACTGCATATCCAGTGAAGGGTCATACATGTAAAGTTTTCAGCACACCTTTGTCCTTATATACTGGATATAATGCAGTTATTGAAAAGAAATTGAAACTTCTTAAGTTTTTTTGTATTTTTCTAATATCAAAGAAGATTATTTTGAATAAAAAATGTGTAAAATATCTGAAGAAAAAATTTAAATGAAAGTGTATGGGAGCCATGACAGCTCTGAATTATGGGATGTCCTCTTAATGCAGCCTATTGCCACAGACCTGTTGTAGGATTTAGCCTTAACAAAACAGACAATCACATTTCCACAACAAAATAAAGAAGATATCCCGAGATTATATAACATTAATTATTCTAAACTGAGATACATTTAGCATTTTATTTGGTATAAATTTGACAAAACATATTTCTATGTTTTAAATAAAATAGAGTTCATGTGTAAAATGATCTTTGAAATTAAAAAAACAAAAGTATTTAATAATAGTTTTTTTCATTGTTTATGGCTATTAATTTTTGATGCCTTAATATAAAATACTTATTTTCTTCCAGTTAAGATATTCTTTTATTATTATCATAAGTGCTTTTATTTTAGATTTTTAAATAATTAACCTCACATTGGAAAGCAGTTTTATGTTTGCATTACACAGTAAATACATTAGGGATGTTTATGGATTTTCTATTTGTTATTTTTATTGTTTTATAAGGCTGTACATCTTACCACACAATTCTCTCTTCCAGAAATTAGCATTTCAATATTTACACTCAGCATTTGAGGCATTTTTAGCTTTCTTTCACTTTCAATAGAAATGGCTTTTCATCTTGCATCGATAAAGATTCAGGATCAACCCCCCCAAAAAATAAAGGTAACATTGTATCCTCAAAAAGTAAGAGAATCAGATAAGTAACTTCAGATTGTCCTTTCCTGACAATATGTGAAATTAATCTGCAATTTTTCTGTGAGCCTTTCGCAAATCTCTACCTAGTGAGCTGGGAGTGAGCCCAGAGACATTAATGCTTTCCGTCATTAAGCTGAAAAGTTCACATCACATTTAATAATTCCTGGCTTTCTGATCTCTTAAACAGAGAGATGGGGTCAGAGGTTGGAGCATTTATTCCTAGCAAATCCAGCACTAGACCTAACAGATTGGAGTGATGGCATTTTTCATAGCAGTGCGATCCCACGATGAGATGCCACTATCCCTGGGCAGTCTGGAGAAATAATGAAAAATTCTGGCTTATGGCCAATATGCAAATTTCAACCAGGTGTTAGAGGGCAAAAAAGGGATAAAATAAGCAGCATTTATGTTTTACTCCAAGAAACATTAATTTGGAAAACTGAGCCAGGGGAAATTAGGACGGCATGAAATGATTATTGCTTTAATTTGTATAATGAACTTTGAAATATTTAAGAGCTTAGAGTTGCATCAACTATGCACATTATAAATGATTTTAAACTGTCGAGCACAAATCTGTTCTTCAGTTGTTTGTGCATTATATCTTCAGAAACTCTCCTGTGATGATATAAATATGCATATATTATACCAGCAAGAGTTTGTGACATTCAGTTATTATATCATAATTAATGGTGGTGTTCACAAGTTCAGTTGCCATGCTTCCCAGAACATGAGCACTGTCCTCGTAAAGATCACTGCATGAGCACTGTCCTCGTAAAGATCACTGCATGAGCACTGTCCTCATAAAGATCACTGCATTCCAAGTGAAGTGTTTTTGAATCATTTTGATTGACAGTCATAAAATCACAAAATGACAATGTGAGACTTTGATTTCTTGTTCCAGTAGCTTTTATCGCTGTGGATTGTTAACTCCTGCACATCCATTGACCCACAAGTGTTAAAAAAGACATACTTGTGAGTTCCTGAGAAGTACCCCACCCCCCCACCTCCATGCTGGCAGTGGGAGTGGGCAGGGTAGGTGACCGTGAGCAGGGATTTTTCTTGTAACATGCAACATTTCCTCTGCCTGCGGCTTCTTGTAGCAGTTTGAAGTGTCAGTCACCTCTCCAAGGAACAGCCGCCACCGTCATTTCCACTTCACACGCAGCGTTCAGCCAGTGTAAGACCCTCACCCAAGGCAACTCAGTGGCTCTACGTAGAGTCTCAGGCTAGATAAATATAATCAATTATAACTCCCAAGGAGTTCAAAGACACAGACCAGGGTGTGTCTAGGCTAGGTCTTTGCTATAGCTGCAGGAATTATATTCCCAAGTTCATCTACACTCACTCGGACTTCATCCAAATATCAAAGCAATATAAAAATTTCTGAAGTTGTGTCCCTTAGCAATGGTCCCCTAACTTTTAGGAAGGTAAATATCATGTTCATCATATGTTGTAATATTTTAATGTTTGGTATGTGGTAAAAGAGGAGAGGATCGGGCTAGAGTGACAAGATAAAATGGCGGATGGCAGGGTGCTTCATCTGGAGAGAATCTGACCAAGAAGATCCTCGATGAGGAGACACACCAGTGGGAATGTGACTTTAGGGAGAAGTGAGACAATATCCTTGCAAATACAAATCTTACTCTGCCTGTGCTAATGAAAGGGTTTGGTATTCTGAGTTTTGGCCTTGCCTGGTGGACAAGGACAGTGGTGGCAGAAAGCTAGGAGTGAAACCTGTAGCTTTTCTGCAGAGTGGACCTGAAAGTCCAGAGTCCATTGCGAAGGTGAGGGCCCAGACAAAGCTAACTGCCAGTTGGACTCTAGCAGTGTTTGTGTGGTGAGGGCTATAAGGCAACGGGGGGTGGTTATTTAAGTATCTTGTTTACATGAGACAGTGAGCCTGTGTCACCAAGCTGCATTTTCAAGTCATATTTAAGGTAGTCTGGGCTGAAACGTAAGTGAACAAAGATGAAGATAATTTAAATGGGGATACATTAAATCCGACAAGTTATCTAGCTAACCGACAAATCTCACTTTGTCACACAGGCCCAGGGACTTCCTGCCGATACCCCAAAACACTACAGAGAAGTGTTCGATGGGTGTTAGCTGGTTAATTTCTTTCAGACATTTTCCACTGTTTCATTGTCTGTTGAGGATTAAGCAAAAATGTCAGAATCCCGTTCATTCATTCGAGAGAAAGAGAAAGAGAATGAGAAGGAGAAAGAGAGAGAGACCACATTCACATAACTTTTATTGCAGTATATTGTTGTTATTGTTTAATTTATTAGTCATTGTTGTACATGGTCTTATTGTGTGTTGTTTATAAATTAAACTTTACATAGGTAGGTATGTATGTACACAAAAAACATTATATATGTTGTTTGCTACTTTCCACAGTAGGTCTTGGAATGTATTCTCAGCTGTTTTATTATTATTATTATTATTATTATTATTATTATTATTATTATTATTATTATTATTAGGCTATAGGGGGAAATATCTGCCCTTTTCACATAGGAACAGAGGATCACTTGCCCTGAGCAGTTATGTCAGTGCCTCCATTAATCCAAGCTTACGGTACATCATATAACTACACACTGGACTGTTGCATCTGCTGTGTCAAAACGGACAAACAGAACAAGTTCTTTGAAAGCCAGGAGTCCACTATTCACACGATTGCCGTCCAAACTGGCCAATGACATAAACTGTTTGTGAGGATCTTCTTAGGAAGATGAAAGTCCCTGAGTGCTGGCCATCTGGCTCTTAGCTGCTTGAACTTTACTGTTGGCTTTTTATTCTATAAACAAACTAGACAAATAGCACAGAGAATGTCCAGCAGCTTTTCAGGGACGCTTTGTAGCACTGATCCATGTGTGGTAATGATGGCATTATGCAGCAGCCTCTCTAAAAATGCCTGTCAAATTCAATAGCGCGTCCCATTAAATTTAGTGTATAGTTTGATACAACGCAATATGCTACCATTTCGTTTTATTGTAGAATGGCTGGCACAGGCCATAATTTAACATTAATAACATCATTTGATAATATAATATAATAGAAATTTAATGGTATGTACCGGATATGTATGTTAGGTAGTGAAAATGTCAAATAGTTAAAATTTAAGCATTTCCCCAATCGGAGTGAATTTCAAAATAAATTATTTTAATATATTTTATATTTATGAAACAGGTATAAAATGAATTAATACATTACATTTCTCTGTGTGTGGGTATGAATCGTGTAGTAAAGTATTTTGTTGAAAACACTGAACATATCACCTCTACATTTTTACATACAAAGAATTTCTTAATAATGGCCCTTTCCTCGAACAGTTAGTTTTATCAGTACATACTGTAAATCCATAAAATGACACAGATGGAAAACTTAAATCATATGAAATGCTGATTTCTCTTTGATTTCTAAGAGCATTACTGAACATTAATACTTTATAATTCATGTGTAAACATGTAGTGAATACAGTAATGCATTCAATTAATGATTAATTTTGTCAATTAATATTGAATTAATTTAATGAATATGTTGTGACCCTCATTCCTGGTATTACACCTGATATTATATGTTGTGCGTTATACAATTCAGTCATATTGCATACTATAAATGTAACTAGTGTCTACAATACAGCAGTACTACTGTAACTGCAGTCAGTTAGTTTCCTCTGAATATTACGATCAGGTACAGACACCTTGGTTATGCCATTTAGAAGATGCATTTTCACTTTCATGAGTGTAACCTGCTCCTGCTGTGAAGTGCCTGCAGACTGTCAGAAAGGGCTGAAGGTGGGCTTCACACATCTTTAAAATATTAACACATTTATTCTGAGATGCAAACGGCTGCTTACGTAGAATGTTAATTCCAGTTGTGTTGTCCTTTTGCAGGATTTCAGTATTTGATAGGGCTCCTGTGAAGCTCGGGAACAAAACAGAGTTTTACTGTGTGTGGTATTCTGAGCAGAAATATCATAAGAAATGTATTATATTGATTATTCTGTGTCCATTGATTTTATCTGTCTTTTCCGCCTGGACAGCTGTGTCAGGCCCGGAGGACGTGGCCTTGTATGTGGGCATCGTGGCCGTGGCTCTTTGCCTGACGCTGCTGCTGATCGTGGTGGTCCTGGTTTACCGGCGTAAGAAGGAGGGCCTGGATGCCGACGTGGCCGACTCCTCCATACTCACCACTGGCTTCCAGCCAGTGGGCATCAAACCCACCAAGCCAGGTGTGTGACTCTCAGAGGAGCTTAACCTGCCGGAGCAGGCAGTGGTTTTCAATTCTGCCAACAGGGTCAATCTTTCAGGTCAGCTAGCTTGTGTGGTGCATGTCATTGTCCCTTCGTTTATCTGAAAATTGGATTTAAGTTACAAAGCTACATGCATTTGCCGGCTGTCTGATGTTTTGTGTCGGAATAAAGGACACTTCCTGGCTGAGCATAGTTTTGAGTTTTGGGACGACTGAGATCAGATGGGCGCTTACATTTAAACATTTGCTGCAAACTTTGCATAAATGCTTCTTTCAAGTAAATATCCAGTAACAATTTACTTGATGGGGTACTAATGATATAGTATTATACTATTTCTTATGTATTAATTAACCACAAACTAAGTCTTAGTTACATACTGATCACATGTTAATTCATCATTAATGAATCCTGATGCATCTTTTATCATCTATAAATATTTTATTTGTTACTATTATTGAGACAATTAAATACTTCTCATATTTATCATTAATGAATGATGCATTTGTCATTCCAAACAGTTACTGTATTTGTATATCTGTTAATTATGTATGTCTTTGTGAACTACTGAAGAAACTACTGAAGGGAATACTAAGGAACTCAAGAAGGAACAAGTCATGAATAACACAAGTGAAATACTAATCCAGTTTATCATTAATAAATAGACATCTTATCTCAAGTAGTGACTATATTTGTTCAGGATTTGTTCATGATTTGTACTTCAGCAATACCTGAGTTATTACTAAGTATTTGTGCCCTGTCAAGTAATGTATTACCAAATATCCTTTTTCATCATAATACATAAAGATGACATTGCTAAATTTCGCAGTACCAGATGTAGATGTAAATCGACAGAAGTTCACGCATTTCCTCACACATTTACAAACTGAAAACCCAGATGACAAGTTATGAGGTTCAGTGCTTTACTGAATGTCATATCTAGCTGGCAAACTGCCAGAAAAGAGACAAAAGCAATTTGTTGAAAATGAAATGGTCATAAAACTTTGGCTCACACCCTTGAATGATTGGGAATTACGGCTAGAGAGACCGTTTTTCATAATGTGGCATGCCGTGTATCAGACGGGAAGGAATATTTTATGGGTATATGCTCTGCCTTCCCCAATTGTATAAAGGGTTTGCACGCGTGCCATGTGTCTGGTAACTGCCTCCCTCAAGGAACAGGATCCACAGTAAAATCATTTACAGAGGGTTAGTTTGCTATTTTTTTCCAGCAGGATCAAGGAATCTGAAAATTAAAGATTTAACCATGAAGGTAATGCACTGTACCCTTTTCACTGCCAGCACAAGGGTAAAGCAAGCCACCCGTGCCATGCTGAATGCCAGAAAGATGCCCCAGAAAGACTCGAGGGAGTGGTTAATGGCGTCCGCCATCCATTCCATGAAGCTGCCAGGTTTACAGGGCAATCAAGAGTGTTTCAGAGTCAAAGAGACAACAATTAAGCAAGTGTGCCCATTCTCATAGAGGCCACTGGGGGGAATAGCGCCCAGTAGCAGCTGATACCCACCCCACAAGATTTTCCAGTTTAGTAGCCTCTCCCAGGTGCCTTCATCTGGTGCACTGCCAACAGGAGCAGCACCGTCTGCCTGCTATATACAGTAGCTAGGGCACACCTGGAAGGAAGGTGGAACTCCCTGGGGAGTCCCCAGATCCACCCCCACCTCTCACTGCCAGCTCAAAGGTGACAAGCAGAGTGCTTGATAATTTCACAGAATGCTGTGTCCCAGAAGGGGCAACAATTTGCACAAGCAGCTCTAGCAGAATTCCTTTTAATGATAACAGTCATGATGTTTGGTGAACATCTCACATCATTACAGAATTCTCCAGTGGATTTACAAGGCATGTCTCATAATCTCATTATATTCATATGTGTATATATGTATGTCTGTGCGTGTGTATAGATACACACACACACACACACACACACACAATGAGAAACAGCATGTCACTGTATTTAGTAAATTTCAATAAGTGAAGGACTGAAGATAAAATACGTGTATAACATTTTCCCAAATATCCAGTATGGAAAGTAATGTCCAGTGTGATGACAAAAAAACACTTTTCCCCATCATGTAATCTTAGGAAAGTATTTTTTTCCAAACTTTTCTTGTAATGCTCCAGGTTAGCTGGGTAGCTGATCATTCTTCCCTGGAATTCCTGTTTCCAGTGCTGAAGTAGGTCAGCCAGATACACCAGATACACAAACTCTCCAAATTAGGCCGACCGAAATGAAACAGTGGATTTTAGCGACAGGATTCAATGAAAGACTCACATTGTTCTTCTGTAACCAATAAGTACAACATGTACTGTACCATAATAAAGGCTCCCTTTTAATGTAATATTGTTCTGTGACAAAAAAAATATTTTGAAGCCTGACTTTTCTGTTGTAAAATGCTGTAAAATGTACAAACAATTCAATTGCGCTTACATGTACGTCCCTTTGATTTGCAGGAAGCACATAGCGAAATTCTTGGCTGCAAGTTACTTTAATCATTAGAAATATCTATAAAGACAGAGATATGTAACTTCATAATCATCGTTCTGTTTAACAGCATAATGAAAGCTGTCAGTGCTGTGACTACTAAGTTTCCTCTATATGTAATTTTGAATTAATCTTTAAGACTGCATTCAATAGAGGAGAAGGGAAAATTCATGAGTTTAAGAATGAATCGTAAGCTTTACATGCATGTGTAACATGAGAGCAATCAAGTTTTTTTTGCGTTTGGGTGGGCTTTCTTGTCAACGGAGCTGTTTAATGTATTTTACCCTCTGTGGCCCTTGGAGATTTTCACTGGAGTCTGTCTGTTTTTGTTCTAATAGAGAACTCCCATTTGCTTACCATCCAGCCTGATCTCACCACCACCACAAGCAGCTATCAAGGTAGCCTCCGATCTCGACACGAGGCAGCCAGCAAGTTCTCGGTGACCAACGGCCCTCTTCTAGACCCCCTGCCTAACAGCTCTCACACTCTTCACAACGGCAAACTGCCATCGGATCCAGCGGACTTTATGAATCGCCTCTCCACTCAGACCTACTTCAAAACCCTGCCCCGCGACACTGCCAGCACCTCCTACGGCACTTTCAACTTCCTTGGAGGGCGACTCACTATTCCAAACACAGGTAAATCCACAGTCTAGGTCTGTTTCGCCTACAGATATGCAGGTATGCGCAAAAAAATGACATGGAATGGCCAAGAGGAAACTTTTTGGTCACTGTATGGTATAGCATGCTTGGTATAGTATAGCATGCTTTTCAATCAAGTAATACAATATTTAAATAACTATAACATCCTGTTAAATCTATGGAAAAATGTTAATCTCAATAGTGTGGCTTACCATAGTATTTCATGCTTTTTTACCGTCATTTTTCTATAAAATATTCATCATGCACCCTTTGTATAAAATGTAAAATTACTTAGAACAGCATACTTACGGAAGAGTAAGTGATACTCTACTAGAGCATTCATGAGACCAGAAACAGAGGCTGTAACTTTTTCTTGCCTTGCATACATAAGTCCTACCCATTATGTAAAGTTAACAGATGATAATGATCCACCTGACCTCATTTAAGCGATACATTTTTTATGTAAATGACATTGTTTATATTAGCATTTTTTTATCTTTAAGAAGTCTCTGTATTTGCACTGTGATTATCAGTGAATCTTCCTTTAATGAACAGCTAAAATAAAGAAGACAATCACTGTGTTGTAGATGATCGTAACACAATCCGTTTTGAGAAGAGTTACATTATGTTTGGACTCTGATGTTTCTCAGAATTAATTTGCTGTTTTAGATTATGTTTTTGTGACAAAGTGTTATAGCTATGTGAAAATTATTTTTTCCAACAAAATCAGACTTAAAGAAAGAAAATGTAGCACTGCTTAAAAAACGTGTGGATTCATATAAGTTTGGAGATGAATCAATAAGTCAGTTTTATTTATAAAGCACTTTTAAACAACACCTCAGTGTAAAGTGTTGAACAAACCGTATTTACAGTTAAATAAAGGCAATGAATTTTCCGTAATGAGTAATATGAGGGCTTTTACATCTGTACCTTTCAGACACTACAGTAAACCTCTGATGGCTCCAGCAATCTGATGCTGCTTTGCAAAAGTGAAAGGTATAATCAAGACATAACAAGATGTTGACCTCTAACTACTACCCAGTGATTTGGCGAACCAATACTAAAATGGTTATTCCTTTATCACCTCTGGGAGCCCACGGCACATTACTCCTGTGAAAGCCTGCAGCTCTGTCGGTCATGATGGCTACTTATCCCTCTCACATTACGTGTCAGGCTCCGGGCAAAAGCCATTTTATCACTCGGCCTCTGGTTCAGTCAGTTTTCAATGCACTTCGGTGGACAGGTTTATATGGTAAGGTCTAATTTTAAGGAAATGTCTTGCCTAGTTGTGAAAATGCGAGAGATGTCATTGTGGAAAACCGGTATCATAACACATAATGTCCGTAGAGCAAGGTAATTTAATAATTTCATTTAGTGGTCACACAATGTTAAAGCATGCGGGTCCATTGGATTTTTTGACCTGCCTGATTGCTAGAGAGATGTTTCTTAGCCTGTACTGTATATGTCAAAGAACATGCAGTTTAACAAATGTACCATATGTTTGCACATTTCATAAACTGTTATTAATCTGGCATGTATGTAAAAAAGTATTTTTCAGTTGTTCACATTCAAGCGAAACACACCAACGTAGACTTCTAATTCATTCAGACACTATTTGGTCTTAACAGATTAAGCAGATTATTTGGTGAAGCGGTGAATGTTGACAAGTGGAATATTGGATCTTTGAAGTGGCCTTTTATCTTCAGCCGAATGGCCTAAAGTTCATCCTACTGAGAGAAACCATTTCACATGTGTAAATTGCCTTTGCAGTTTTCCCCTTACTCTGACCACATCGCACCATTTTCTTTGCTTTGAACTGCATATTCTGCAATCTCAGGGAAGCAGGCGTACCTTTCAAGCGCTATTGCTGTAAAATATTCCCTTGGCCAAACCTATGCTTTAATTTGAACTTTTTGGGAGAAAATTGCACAACAGCGGTACAGTTTTGCTAGAACATTCCCATTTGCTCTATTCAAATCCATTTTGAGGCTGAATCTCAGTCTGAACTGTATGTATCAAGGTGTCTTTAAATTTGACCGTTATGTGTACCTCTCTGTTTATAAGGCTGGATGGTCGGAGAATATGTGGAGTCTTAGTAGTTGTAGCAATATGCGTGGAACAAGCTACCTCTGACCTTTATTTTGGTTAGCTGAATTTGGTTTTGTCTGACCCTTCTTAAAATGCCCAGGTAGCGCTCTCCCACAGAAAACCAAGCATGGCCTCGTGCTTCCATTGCCTCCTTTGTTTGCTTTCAGGAATCAGCTTGCTTATTCCCCCTGAGGCGATTCCCAGAGGGAAGATATATGAGATTTATCTGACTGTTCAGCGGAAGGAAGATGTACGGTAGGTCCATTCCTCTTTCGTACTGATTATTCCCTGTTATAAACAAACAATGCTAGGCAGCTTTCATTGCATTTTATCGACCGAACATAGTCCGGTTCTGCTCTCTAAATATTCAACATACAGCTACCAAAAATATGAGGTACCTCAGAGTTGGATTTCATAGCAAAAATGCTGTAGCAGTGGCATTTCAGTATCATTAAAATACACTCGTTTGTTCGTTGTTGAAATCTCTGTTAATTTGTTACCTTCAAATGCATTTGTAGGTAGGAAGTAGAGTTGATTGAGTTTGTCCTGTGTCTGTTTACCCTTGTAAGACCTTCTGTTGCATCTTCCGATCCAGATTACCATTGGCTGGCTGCCAGACGCTGCTGAGCCCCATTGTGAGCTGTGGACCGCCAGGCGTGGTGCTAACCCGGCCCGTCATCCTTAGCATGAACCACTGCTCGGATGCTAACCCCGAAAACTGGGCCATGAGGTTGAAGAAGCAGTCATATGAGGGGACTTGGGAGGTGAGGCACCCAGAAGTTTAGTGGTGGACATGATAAATGTGTATAAAGTACGGTAAATCGAATTAATTTTTCAGTCATTTTTACTGATAATCACTATGACTCTTTACAGTGGTAGGTAATATAAAAGAAATTGAAGTACAGGCAGGTTAAGAATGTTCGACGGACAACCTGTACATCCAAACGGACTGCCACAAAGCCTATTAAATTTCTGAGGTAAATAATGGTGTGTAATAACGAACGCACACGTGAAAACATTGTGTGGCTTCAGCTATTCATCAGCTCAAGGTCCAGTACAGTGCCCTGAGTGGTTATTTTTAATATTACTATTATGTGCTGTATTATTATTGTTCCAACTTACCAACAAATTCAACTTAAAGACTTAGATAGATGCGTGTTGTGATGTTGGTATTAGATGCAGTTGCAGTGCTAGAGAACAACAAATACTAAATTTTAACTGCAATAATGATTACTTCGTAATGTAATTTTTATTATTGCAAACATCACATGTATAATAACTGTGGATTTGTCAGCATTTATGCTGTGGGGTTTTTAAGGCAACATGCAGTATCTCCTTTTAGCAAAGGCAAATGCCTTGGAGGATCTTAGCAAACAAGGCCTTGTGAAGACTGCAGAGCCCAAACGCAGGTCTGCTCAGAATGCGCCGCTGGAGGCGGAGAGGAGAGGGGGTCTTCTTTCATGTTCAATATTGTGCATAAATTATTCAGGCCTTTGGTGTGGTAGCAGCAGGGTGTCTGCACGATGAATTGGCCTGTCTGAGGCTGGGGTTAGAGGACCACTTTTAATCATCCCGGGTCCAAATATAGCCAGTGGGCCACAGGTTTGCTGGGAGCTGGAGGGACAAATCAAAGTTTGTCCTGCTGAAGATAGAACCTGGTCTGCTGGCTAGAGTCATCTATTCTATGCAGAAATGCATGTTATTGAATAGAAGAGAGTGAAACAAAAATAGGCGAGTGGAAATGTGTCTGTTATATTAAATAAGCTAATCGATCCATTGTTTAGTAAGCAATAGTAAAAATAAAGAACACTTCACCGGGAAGGGATATACATTTACAGCAGTACTAGTTTTTCTCATTGAGAGACAATCACATTTATCGGTCACAGGAGTCAACATTTTAAAGGCCGAGGGGTACCGTACTACATCATGCAGTGGAACACTCCTCTGTGGCTGCAGAGGAGGTGGAACGGACATGTGAGAAGGCAGATCTCTGTGGGAAGATCCCAGTGGTCCCTTAAAACACCACTTATCTGCAGTCTCCGCTTGTGCTAGGCGTCAGCAGATCACGTGCTCTCTGCCGGGGCCCCCGTGTGATCACTCCCCAGTGCAGCAGATAATATGACTGCAGTGTTCTGCTTTAGTTTCACTTCACAAAGACCTTTGCGTAAGATCTTTACAGATCTGTATGTAATATACATTTTTCTTACTTATTTATGGAAGTACTTTTAAGATGTACTGCATAGACTGCACATTTCTCTAATGGCTGCAGAGAAGCTCCAGCACATCATATTTTACTGCCAGTGCTGCTTAATCTAAATCAGTTACAAAACTGAAATTATGCCAGTTTTTAATATTTAATTTCACCAAAATCCCTCTTCACATATGATGCATAGACTTGGCTTTTTTGACAGCCACCTTGAGATTAATTCCAAATGTAGGCCTATATAATTATTTCTTTCAGGTGTAAAACGAATTATAGTCATTGTAATGTTAATCAAGTATATTGAATTGTTAGTTCTTGGTAATTCAAGTTATATTAGTAGTATTGTAGGAAGCCTTTTTAATACCATTATTTAAGCACTTTTTTTGTATCGTAGTTCTTATTACTTTACATTGCATCACACTTGGTGCCTAAGTAAGTGTATATGTGCTGTAATAAGGCTTTTATTTCAAAATCACACCAGCTGTCAACCTTACAATGAGACAAAATGTCCGTTTTAATTTGCATGCTGCACGTTGAATTATGGTTTCTGTAGCTTGTCCAGGTGATTTTTTTTGTCACGGTCAAGTAACAAATTTGATGGGGGACAATAAGCAACATCTACATCACCAGCCGTTCATCTGCAAACACGTTTGACTGACCTGGGATAATTTAATAGAGAAGTAAGAAGCGCTAATTAACCTTAGTACATTTATTAAATAGTGATGCGATTGAATTTTGTTTTACATGCAGTGGTGGTCACTACAATTGATGAATAAAGCATGACATTCAATAAAAGGTCAGCATGACTACAATGCGAACATCAATTTTTTTCCCAATCTAAAAGGCAGGATGGCAGTTTCTTGCGATCCACTTGACAGGTGGGTCTTGCTCTACATTCCATCTGCCTCTTTTAAAGAGGTTTTTTTTTTATGAAGCCCCATTTGCCACAAAGCATGCAAATCGCATACCTTTGTCTGACAGGTGCTGATCATTTGTGATCGGTAACTAATACACCATTGCAGTTTATTTTATAGTTTCCTAGTGTGTCATTAGGAAGATGCCCATTCATACACAGAAACAGACAGTTGCACGATTTCAGCCAAGCCGTCATTTTTTAATACGTCAGTTTATACTAACCCTAAATATCATCATTCAGCAAGTTGCACTGCTAGACATAATGTAGGGTTTACTGGCAGGGAGTGAAAACCAGATCTGTAATGTTTTAATCATCAGGGATTAAACTCACATTCCCACTTAAGTCACAGGAAATGTGAGTGTGGCTGAAACTGATGGAACATTTTAAAAGTTTGCAAAAGATAATTCAAAAATATTACAATAATCAGAGGAATGCCTATGTTCTTGCAGATGGTGTGGAGGGAAGAAATGGAAGACTTTTGAAATGTTATTCAAATTCATATTCATACTTGGAAATGAGATTCAGAAATCCAGACTTAGAATAAAGTGGTGATACAATACATTTCACAAATATAGCACTTTCATCAGATGGTATTTATATGAGAGTCTGAAGTGTGAATCACTGTGTCCCTCACAGCATTTTAGAGGGAAAACTTGATGTAAAAAGATTTTAGATTTGATTTTGGTCTCATCATGGGGGTTATGAAAACATTGTTGGATTACAGCGAGCTTATCGTTTCAAACTAAGCTCTAAATTGAAGATTATGAATAGAGACAGAATGGAGCTAAAAAGGTTAATGCTGGAACAAGAGATCTCCCACTTTTCTAAAAGCATTTTCTATAAAACACTCTAGAGGGAACTGTTTAACTTGACCTTGATAACCCATGTCGGAATAAGTTTTGGGCTACATTATTAAAAAATAAAAGCAAGATATATAACAGCTAACAGTAGCTTAGCTGGGGAAAAAATCCTGCAGGTTTCGCAAGATCATTACAATATATAATTTTTATCTGTATTAGACTGAGAGATTACTATTTAATTTACATGTGTCACATTACAAGAAGTAAATGCACTTCTTAAAAATTATTTATATATATATATAATGTACACACATATACACACACACATGCATATAGTAGCATGACAAAACATTGCTTTTTTATTTTGTATTTGAACTTTCTGACTACTGCATAAGACAAGATATCCTTTGTTCATCCCAGGGAAATTCTTGTGCATACAGCAACAAGGTACATATAGTGCACAGATACATATAGTGCACAGATACATATAGTGCACAGATACAAACATGACGTGCAAAACAAAGCGGAAGAGCCAAGACACAGAGTGCAAACAAATTTAAGATGTACACAGTACAAGCAGAACATCTTTGAATGTTGTTCAGAAAATAGATTGAAATGTAAAGAAATGGATGGTATATGGACAGGACACTGGACTTTTTCTATTATTACTATATAATCTGGCCAATCAGGAAGAGTGATTATAGAGGCTGGGGGCATCAGGCAGAAAGGGTCCCCACAGGGCTTTTTAGCAGCTGTTGCAGACAAAATATAAATGAATATTTTTGTTATAATTTCAGAATTACATGCTATTAATGAAATTCTGAATAGTTACTTTAAGTTATAAACATAATTACATGTTAATAAGGTGAATTTCATTATACTGAAGTATCACTTTGTTCACAATGATGATTTATTTGCCGCATTTGTGAACTAAATGCTGGCAGCACTACAAGGACAAAGGAAAAGGATGTTTGTCTGGCAGTTGTTGCTTTTTTCTCTTCCCTTTTACTTTATTCCAAAGTCTTCCAACTACATCCATGATGCAAAGCAGTAAAACAGTCTAGTATAATTGACTTCTCATCTTTGTTTCCAGATATTCTCTGCCAGAAAATTAAAGACTGCAATCAAAGAAATCTGGCAACAATGGTAGAGGGAGTAATAGTGTTAACGATAAATCTGTCAACAGTGGCTTTGCCAAGTAGCACTTCATTCCCACAAAGAAATAAGTTACCATTGACATGCAAATCACTGTGCCTAAACATGTACAATCAACAGTATTTCCATACAGATACAGCAATCCTTTTGCGTACAAAGTGCATCATTGTAAGTAATGTGTAAATGTGCTGCGGCATAATCTAGTTGAGCAGCTCTAAACAAAATACTGTTAAGTTGCATACAGGTGAAATTAACCAAACATTGCGAGTAGTGATTGTAATTTGCCACTGACACTGTCATTTCACAGTAGTGCAAATTGATTTTAACAGGGATTGCCGCTGAAAGTGTATGATTTATTGTATCGGAAAGGTGTAAATTTTCATCAGTAATGAACATATAATTTTAATTTTCTTTTCACTGTCAGTCTTCATAATTTAGACAATCTGTTCTTTTTCCCCTAACAACAAGGCATAAAGGGGCTAGATATTAAAAAAGCAGTGGGACATTTAATGGGAATATCACCATGTGCCACTATGAGCAGGATAGTCAAGCAATGAAATCGATTTGACAGTTTTGACATAATTAGGTTAATATTAAATGTAAGTCCTTATAGCAAATTACAGCTATATATGAATTGTCCAAATGTCAATAAGGAGTATATCTGTAACTGCCATCAGAAAGACTGCATTAGGTTGAGTTTTTTTATTTTATCAAAAAGAAAGTCAGATTTCACTTGGAATCACATTTTTGTGTATGTAAAATGCCAGTGATATAAGTAAAGCTGAATTATTATTGCATCTAGGTCTGCTTATGCTTATATATATTTTATTTATTTAGAAGATGTTTTTTTCCCCCAAAGAAACATGCAATTTAGATATCAGTCCCTGGAGCAATTGGGGGTTAAGACCATCACTCAAGTGTCCAACGATGAAATGACTCTGCTAAGGAGGGGATTTGAATCAGCGACCTTCTGATCAAAGGCACAGTCCAAGCCTGCTGAGCCACACACAGCCTCCAAAAACATGCCTCTCAGTGAATTACTCGTCTGTGGCCATGTGCATTATTTCGGATTTACAGAACAATCAAGGAATCAAGATGCTACAACGGCCAATGCCAAATAACTTTTTACATATTAGCCCTACACTTGCTTAGCAGGCGCTTTCATCTAAAACGACTTACAGCTGAAGAAACAGGGCCATCCAGTCCGTGGAGCAACTGGGGATAAAGGCCTTGCTCAGGGGCCTGATGGTAAAATCACCCTGCCAAGCATGGGATTCGAACTGGTGACCTTCAGGCGGCGCCGCCTAACCCACTGAGTCACACACCATTTAAACTTAAAGTGTTACAAACTTTTGCAGAGTTGCGTGAGAATTACTTTCATTCAATAGCCAGTTTTCCAACCTATGATGTCACTGTAGGCCCTGATTCCTAATGTGAGGTGTCCTGTTCTGTACCACTGCTTTCTTCCCGCTCAATCTCTGTGGCCTGTACAGGCTTAATATACTTCTCCAGATCACATCAATAGCCTCATACAGTACCTGGTCATTGGCGTAGTGTCACAGACACAACACTAAGAGGATGCAACACTCAGGGGGCAGCGTGTGGCTCAGTGGGCTAAGCTCGTGTGCCTATAATCGCAAGGTCGCCGGTTCAAACCCAGCCTCAGCACATCCGTGGGTCCTTGAGCAAGGCTCTTAACCCCCAGCTCCCTGGGTGCCCCGACAGGTGGCTCTGCTTTGCAGACAGATTACTCTACAAAGAGCAAGTTGAGGGAGGCATAAAGACAATTTCTCCACAGGGATCAATAAAGTATCAATTATTATTATAGAGTAATTATCCCAGAAAGTCAGATATTACATGCAGACATCTAACAGATAATCAAAAACTAAGAGCTGTGAAACTTACTGACTGTAATTTATTTTTGTTTATTGCCACTGATGTACTGCGGAAAATAGGCTTCAGTACGGTAGCCTTGAAAGCCCAAAAGACGTCAATATTAACACAATGCAAAAAACATTAACATACACAAAGACTCAAAAACAGCAAATTTAATTTTCAAATGCGTTTTGTTCTCTTAAAACTTTGGCATATGTCCACATGGAAGTGTTCCCAATAGCAGAATAATTCCAGAAATACGGCTTGTTGATACAAAGCCATAGTTTGATTTTTAGGCATTTATAATATCCATCAAGCTAATTAATATATAACATTCTTGAATTCTGAGCTGCTGCCACATAGAGTATATTTTACAGACTTTTTTAGAAACTGTAGAAGATCGATGCAGTTGTCGCAGAATTAAATTGTTGCATTTACATTCCGTTGCTATAATTACAATACTGTAATTATACAGAAATTTTTAAATAACTAGATGTTATCATTGCTGTACTCACATTAAGAGTAGAATAAGCCATAATTATATTAGTTATAGTAGAAATAGAAGAACTTGATGTACGGAGGAACTGGAAAAGTTGGTAAGAATGCACTGCATGTCAGCAGTGATACACTCAGTAGCCACTGTATTAGGAAGACCAGCTTGTTAATGCAAACAGCCTGATCATCCAAACAGAGTCATGTGGTTGCAAATGACAGCAATATACAGCATGCAGGCAAAGCCAAAGGGTTCAGTTAGCAGCTCAGGAACTGCAAACCACCTTGGATTTTTACATACTGCAGTGTCTCGAGTTTATAGAGAATGTGAGAAACAAGAAACACTCAGACAGCAGCAGTTTTGTTGCTGAAAACACCTTGTTAATGAGAACAATGACTAGACTCATTAAATCAAACAGGAATTTCACAAGCTGAATGCACAACACAAAACGGCACAAAACAAACAACTTCTCAATCACTAAAGTAGTTCTGGAGACAAAATGGGGTGCTGCCTGGTACGATGTGCAGGTAATGTGACCACTGAGTCTACATGCAGTGTAAATGTCCAGGAGACGTCAGAGGTGGAAAGTTCAGGTCCAGAAAGTCCAGACCAAGACTTTGTTTCAACCAACCAGTTGAACATGAAGAGTCACTGTGACAGAGTACTCAACTGGTTAGTTGAAACAAAACCTTGGTCTGGACTTGTGCTTTCTGGACCTGAACTTTCCACCTCTGGGAGACACTTTGTTGCGCTATCAGGTCATACCCCTGGGAGCGTATATCTGATCACCTTCTTAGCACGGGTGCCGGGGCCCCTATCAGCCGGAGCAGCAGGTAACGCCTCACCTCTGCCATCTTGACAGGACGTGCTACAGGTGGGGGAGGAGCTGCCGTCTGACCCTTACTACTGCCAGCTGGAGGCGGAGACGTGCCGCGTCTTCACAGAGCATCTGGGCCGCTTTGCCCTTGTGGGGGAGTCGCTCAGCATGGCCGCTGCCAAACGGCTCAAGCTGGTTTTGTTCGCACCTGTCTACTGCACCACACTGGAGTACAGCATCCGCGTCTACTGCATGGATGACACCCAGGACGCGCTGAAGGTGAACTACCGTTTTTACTTGACTTAAGCATATACGTTGTAATTGTAATTGTAATTGCTGTTCCTTTTGATGCTCTTAGCATATACGTTATAATTGCTGTTCCTTTTGATGCTCTTAGCATATACGTTATAATTGTGGCTGTTCCTTTTGGTGCTCTTAGCATATACGTTATAATTGTGGCTGTTCCTTTTGGTGCTCTTATGCCTACTTGTCTTTTCTAATCTTAGTAACGCCCATTGCTCCTGTAAGTCTAAATTCGCCTCCCCTCGAATCGCATTTTTTCCCAAGGATAGTTATATGCTAACGCCAAATGCATGCCCTCAAGAAGTGCTCCTAAGCAGATTGTCAAGATCTCATTTGCATGGCTAATTAGTAAATTAAAAAGGGGACCTCATTGAGCACCCTCTCCCAGCGAGCCCCACAGCACTTCACCTCATTCTTCTCCAGTACCAGTGTCACAGGGGCACCCAAAAGTGCTGCTGCCTGGAGAGGCGGAATGAGGCCACTTCACCATGGTCTACCTGAGTGGCCCATCTCATTCGCCAGCTGAGACATTTATCATTGCTGGTTCATGTGGTGGGTGGGGGGGTTCAATATTTGAGACCAGCTGATATGTAAAACACTGATAATATAATTCTGAGAACCATCCCAAAGTAAAAGTCATCAATCTGTACCATTCATCACCATAAATAGAAAAAAACTTATATTTTCCATATATAACCTATTAAGAGTTTCACAAGTTTCAGGACATATTTGTTGTTGCTATTTTGACCACACACTGAACATAAAAATATACCACATTTAGTTTTTAATGCGTGAATCAGAAATCAGCCACAAATGGGACATTGATGAAGATATCTGAACACTTCTGCAAAGTGCTCAGAGAAACCATGAAAACACATAATCCGTATCCCTATCTCTTCTCTGAATCTACCTAGCTGCCCTTTTTAAACAATAGTGAGGAATAGGGTCTAATCGCAGTCAGCTAGGTTCCATACCCTGCGGTGCTTCTTGACCAAAGGTTATCAGTTAACCAGTTTCCATGTAACCCAACCATTTTTTTTTTTTAGAGAATTACCCATCGATTAATTTATGAATAAACATACCAGAAACTCATGGACTTTCTGAGAGGCAAATGAATATCCTGAAATCTACTTAAACTGATCATTCAATCGATCAGTCACCTAGTTATAACATGGCTTGATGGGTTGATGAATTAAAATTGGTATATTACATTTATAGTAAATTACTGAATCCATATTATGTAGATTTAATATAATGGAATTAATGTAATGGAAAAAAAATGTGTTGCTTAACTTTACTTTGCCCTATATAGAGTGGATGTTAAAGACATTTAAGTTTTGCTGATGTACACAAAACACAAAGGCACATTTTAAATTGGTTTTGTGATGCACAATTTTTCCAGTTCAGCCCTTCCCCTCAGGGGGCCTTTCTGCATTTCCCAATCCGCAAAAATCTCTTTTCACCCAGCAATAAAGCGTTCAGGAGGATATTAATGCCATTTTGTAAGCAACCAGGTACAGTAGCATTGGGGAATTAACTAAGTGCTATGAGGCAATAATTTAACAAATGTGCTAATGTATTACTGTCATTATTAACTACAGCCGATCTTTATATGGCAGAAATTCCAAACTGAAATACGAACCCAAGATCAGAATAAATGCTTTAATGGTTTTCACCTGAATTAAACAAGATCCCCAAAAAGCTGGATGAGAAGTAATTCAGCTCATGTTCGTACCCAGAGGTCATATGCAAATCGTCCACAATGATAACAACAACAAAAAAAAAAAACACTCCTAAATTAAATGGGGTTGCATTTCCCAAAAACATAATTGCTACCTACATTAGCAACATGCTGTACATAGTTGGAAACATGCAACTGAATGGGTCCAGCTTTGTCAGTGGCTAAGGGGAGCGTTTGGGAAACTCACCCCGGCAGGGTTGTCAGCAAACCAACAAAGCGCTTCTAGCATCTTCAGTAAGTCCCGCAGTCATGACTGCACTCTGTATGCACTTAAGCAAGAAGAAATGAAGGAAACCCACCAATCTCCGCTAGTCCTGCATGGAGTTTACACACTTCTCTTGCGTTGTTTGGATTTCCTCCCGCAGTACAAAGACAATGTAGTCGGGCTATCTGAGATGTCTAAATTGCCCATATTTGTGTATGTGTGCCCTGTGGTGGACTGGCGCCCTCTCTGGGACTTTAATGTGGCTCCAGGTTGCCTGCAGCCCTGTTCTGGATAAGCATTTGGAGATAGATAGGGTGGATGGATGGATGTATGGATATCTATAAATACTAAAATGTACATAGATATATTATCAGGTTAAACTTTCCATTTTACTTTGCTAGTAAAAGTTTTTGAATACCCACTTTTTTAGCTTTTTGGTCAAACTTCAAGTCATGCACTCATTGTATGTTGTATACCCTGTCAGAACTTACAGTACCAATCAAACGTTTGGAGGTCCCAAGCTGCCTACACATTGGGGTTAATGGCCTTGCTCAAGAGCCCAGTGGTGGGATCACTTCCCACTCAGGGATCTGAAAAGGCAACCTTCTGAGTCCCAACCCATTGAGCTGCACCACTCCCAAAAATATTTTTTTTGTTTAGTACTTTTTTGGTCAGTGCATAATTCCATATATGTTATTCTATAGTGTTGATGTCTTCATAATTATTCTAAAATGTAGAGAATAGTACAAATAAATCTTTCTATGGGTAGGTGTGTCCGTACGTTTCACTGGAAGTGTATTTGAAGAAGTAGGAAGGTAAAACTTGAATGCAGTGACATTAGCTGCACATTTACCTGACCTTAACTCCTTTGGAATGATTTGGGGTGAAATGGATAGAAAAGCTAAGGCTGCAATGCGGATAATTTACTTCTCCACTTCTCCAGCAACACTGGAGTGAACTTTCATAAAAATATGAAATAGTCTTTAACAGATAGATAATAGATAAATAATAGAACGGCTAGAATTTATTCAGTTGTATTCAGTGTAAAAAGAGGCAATTTTATGAATCTAAGCTTTAGCCTGTTTTATTACATTGGTGTTTTTTTGTAGTTTGTTTAGTTTTATTTTTACTTAATTGTCATTCTTCACTTTTTTCTTTTGCATATGGCTCTGAGAGTGCAAAGACCATAAGGAAACAAAGCGGTATGCGTATACTTGGCCATAATAAAACTATATGAAATATATATTACCTTCTAAACAATTTTTAAAACCTAATGATTGCATGTATCATTCTCATAAAACCATAATTTAATTCTATTCCTGTTCTCAGCATTTTTGTAAAATATTCCTTGTATCGTCTGTAAATTAATTTTTAATAACCGCTTAGGCAGGATATGCCAGGTGCAGAGCAGACAAAATCACGCCCATGGACCCGCTCACCTTACTGGCAGGCCTGTGTCACGGGGGGGGGGGGGGGGGGGGGGGGGCACACCCATATACTTACCAGTCATTGGGTTATTTCGAGAAATAAGAAGTGACTATCATTTCATTTGACCAGTTATTTCAGAACAAAATTATTTAACTTCGATTAGTTTTCTTCTCAATTTTGACACTTGAATCCCCATTTTCACAGATCTGTTTTCTGTGACATTTTAATATTCACTGGTCATTCAATTCTTTTCCCAATGATATCTACAAAATGTAAAAATGACTTCCAATTTAGATGCCATTTAACTTGGTTATGGAAATTATCCAATTATCAAAGTAATTTCAAACACTATAGGGCAGAGTTGAATTTTGATTTTATTTTCTTTTTCTGGACTTGGAGAAAAACTTGGAGTACATAATGACTACAATGAAGAAGAATTATGACCTTTCGTGCATAAATGGTAGACGCTAGTTCACAAAGCATTATTTTCTTGTTATTTTATTGTACCTACAGTGTATAATTACTGCTTAAATGGGAATGCAAATTACCCACCTGCTTTGCAAACAATTCACTTTGGCACACTCATAACAAATAAACTAGAGTGCCTGATAGACCTATAACATTTTTTGGCATAACTAGGCATTTGGTGGAATTGTTTATTTTATTTGCTTTAATTGTCAAATTATTTACTTCTGTGTTTATTTGTGAGCATATTAGATTTCAATGGTAAAAATATTTTTGTCATTGTAGGTTGGCAGTCTTGAAAAACATTCCATCTTTATAAAAGTTAGTATCTGATTATATTATTAATGATTCTATTTGACAAACTCACAGCATCCCTCCCCGGTAAAACTTGAATTAGGGTACCTTTGGGTCTTCCAGCTGTCATGGTGACATCTGCACCATACCAAAAATTGGATTTGTCCATGCTTCATCCATCCATCCATCCATCCATCCATTTTCTGCCACTGATCCATGTCCAGATTCCAGGGGCAGCAGTATAAGCAGAGCTCCTCAGACCTCCCTCTCCTCAACCACCTACTCCAGTTCCTCTGAAAGGATACCAAGGCATTTCCAGGGCAGGCAAGAGAGGTAATTCCTCAGCATGTCCTGGATCTGCTCCAGGGTCTCCTCCCGGTTGGACATGCCCAAAGCATCTGGGGAGGCTTCCAGGAGGCATCATAGACAGGTGCCGGAATCACCTCAGCAGGTTCCTTTCCATGTGGAGGAGCAGCAGCTGTACTGTAAGCCCCTTCTGAATCTCTCAGATCCTCACCCCGGCTCTAAGGTTGAGCCCAGACACCCTGCGGAGGAAGCACATTTCTGCCACTCATTCTTTTGGTCACTACCCAGAGCTCATGAGCATAAGTGAGGGTAGGAGCATAGATTTACCAGTAAATTGAACACTTTGCCTTCTGAATGAGGTCCCTCTTCACCATGACAGACAGTACAATGTTTGCATAACTTCTGAGGCTGTACTGATCCGTCTGTCAGTCTCCTAATCCTTTCATCCCTCATTCATAAACAAGTACCTGAGATACTTAAACTCCTCCACTTGAGGCAGTAACTCAAACTTAGTCTGGAGGGGGCAATCTATCATTT